CCCGCACTCGGCCCCGTCCTTAGCCTAGCGCCCGGCCCCGTCCCTAGCCCGCGCCCGGCCCCGTCGGCCCTTCGCCCCGCGCTCGGCCCCGTACCTAGCCCGCGCCTGGCCCCTTACGACAACCCCTAGCCCGCGCCCGGCCCCGTCGCTGACCGCGCTCGTGCCGCCAGTCCCACTTTCTCTCGTCTCCTCGCCACTGCTGTCACAGACCTTCTTTTGAGTCTGCTGCTGCGTCGGCTGTCATTGCTGAGCTGCTTGACTTTGCTGTTGCCTGCCGTCTAGACTACGCCACTCCTCTTGTTGCTGAGTCTGCGTCTGCCAGTCTTCCGTCCGTCGGGAGTGAGTGTGCTCTTGGCACGGACGTCCTTGAGGACAGGCAGGAGGACTTTGAGTGTCTTGCAGCCGCTGTACCTCGTTTCCCATCCATGCTGCTTGCCCCTGAGGGAGACCCGTATGTTCCAGACATCCCGACCCCGCGCTCTTACGCAGAGGCGATTACGGCTCCTTACTCCTCTCAGTGGCAGGCAGCCATGGATGCCGAGATGGCATCGTGGAAGTCCACAGGCACCTACGTCGACGAGGTTCCCCCACCTGGGGCAAACATAGTCGATGGCATGTGGATCTTCAGGGTGAAGTGGCCGCCGGGTTCTCCGCCTGCCTTCAAGGCGCGTTACGTTGCTCGAGGCTTCAGTCAGCGATAGGGAGTTGACTACTTCTAGACCTTCTCCCCCACCCCAAAGATGACTACTCTTCGGGTGCTGCTGCACGTCGCTGCTCAGCGTGACTACGCGTTGCACTCTCTGGACTTCAGCACAGCTTTCCTGCAGGGCAGCCTGGAGGAGGAGATCTCTCTGCGCCGCCAACCTGGCTTTATTGAGTCTTTTCCTACACGTACTCAGTGGAGTCTTCGGCGGCCAGTCTACGGTCTTCGCCAGGCGCCTCGCGAGTGGCACGACACACAGAGGACTACACTTGCGGCTCTTGGGTTTGCTCCTGCTACTGCTGACCTGTCGCTGTTTCTACGCACCGACACCTCGCTGCCGCCGTTCTAGGTCCTTTTCTACGTCGACGACCTCGTCTTTGCCACTGCTGACACTGAGGCACTGACCCTTGTGAAGTCCGAACTGCAGAAGAGACACACCTGCACTGACCTGGGTGAACTGCGCAGCTATCTTGGCTTGCAGATCACCCGGGATAGAGCACGGCGCACCATTACCCTGACTCAGTCACACATGGTGCACTAGGTCCTTCAGCGCTTCGACTTCCAGTTCTCCTCGCCATAGCCCACTCGTCTGTCTACCAGCCACTCGCTCTCAGCTCCACCTTCGGATGAGTCCGTAGAGCCGAGTGGTCCATACCCAGAGCTTGTGGGTTGCCTCATGTACCTGATGACGTGCACACGACCTGACCTCGTGTACCCTCTCAGCCTTCTGGCTCGCTACGTGGCTCCCGGTAGGCACCGAAAGGTGCACTGGGATGCTTTGAAGAGGGTACTGCGCTACCTGTGCAGTACGTCAGGCATGGGGCTCGTGCTTGGAGGACGGGGTCCATTTGTCCTCACCGGTCACGCATACGCTTCTTGGGTTGATGACTCAGCTACGCAGCAGTCGCCACAGGGTTACACATTCAGCCTTGGTTCCGGCTCTATTTCCCAGCAATCTACCCGCTTGTCTTCGGTTCTCAACTTCAGTTGTGAGGCTGAGATCTACGCTGGGGCCATGGCTGCACAGGAGCTACGCTGGCTCACCTACCTGTTGACTGACTTGGGAGAGCAGCCTCGTTTGCCTCTAGTTCTGTACGTAGACAACAAGGCCATGATTGCCTTGTGTCAGGAGCACCGACTGGAGCACAGAACGAAGCACATCGCTCTGCGATATTTCCTTGCTCGAGAGTTGCTGCAGCGTGGCCAACTTCGTCTTGCGTATGTGGCCACTAGGGCCAACACTGCTGATGTATTCACCAAGGCACTTCCGCCTGGTGATCATCAGCGCTTCTCTACTGTGTTAGGCCTTGTGCCTACTTTGCCTCACTTGCTTAGTGCTTGACTTTGCTTGTACTGTGATATATATATATATATATATATATATATATATATATATATACCTGCATACTTACACTTGCTAGGGTATGATCACTGTATTGTTTGTTCTCTTTATATAACACTGCATGTGAACTGGCCTTGTGGCCCTTTGCTTGTGCTCGGACTGTGTGGTGACTTAGTGATCCACCCTGAGCTTGCTTTTCTTTTCTTGACTGGTCTTGTGACCACTTGTTCTCCCCAACTTTGCCTATGGGGGTTTGTCAAACTTATATATAGCTTACATTGTGTAGGCTGTAGTGGGGTAGCCCATACGGGGTACAACCCAATTTGGGTTAGTACTTGTACCCATCTCTTTGCTTGTTCATTCATTCTCGTTCGTTATTTTGACAGTTTTGGCCGCTGAATCCGCGCTCGCACTCCACGGTGCTGAGAGGGAGCACGGCTACAGCTTGCTAAAGCTAGGTGGGAATAAACAACATGTCTACCAACGTGTGCAGGTGGTGTGGTTGGAGTATGTTCATGGGGCAAAACAAATGCACTTACTAGGGAGACGGTAGAGGAAAGATTTGTTGAGTAGTCGCAACCACTTACAACACTTTTTCAGACGCTGACTGCGTTCATCGTTAGGCTGCCAGTGTTGCATTTTCCACTGTGAGAAGCGACAAAAACTCGCAGACAACTGTGTCGACTTTTTGAAATGTGACATGGAGGATAAGGTGCTTGCCACGCATGCGGTCGGTACTTTCGTCAAGCTGTATTGTGATGAACGGGCTGGTGGCGATGTGCTCTAAATGTTACTACCACAGGTATTTCGCCGCGGCCTCCAGCATCTCGTCAAACACATACCTGCACATTCACCGTAGTAGGTCATGAGGTGCATCGTGCTCCTATCGAGGCCCTCAAATTCACTGAGTAGTGACTGCCGAAGCTTCCAGCTTTCATTGGACTTCATCGTGACGGTCGTGAGCGCTGGTGAGTTTTGATGCTCGCCTTCTGCATGTCCCACCCTCCTGTGCCGCCCATACCGTATGCCATGTTTGCGCTCTCGCTCCCATGCTCCATGAACCAGCTGCATTTCAAAATGGGCATCCCGTTGTCAGCACGCAACATAACAAGCCATGGAAACAAGCCCTTCCAAGAGCTTTGAAACCTCCGATGTGTGAGAATGACAAACGAGAATCGCCTGCCACTGAGAGGAGTAAGGACCCGTAATCACCTCTACATAAGAGCACAGGGTCGGGATGTCTGGAGCATCCGGGTCTCCCTCAGGGGCAAGCAGCAAGGAAGCGAATCAAGGTACAGCTACTGCAAGACACTCAAAGTTCTCTTGCCTGTCCTCAACGACGTCCATGCCAAGAGCACACTCACCCCCGACGGACGGAGGACTGGCAGACACAGACTCAGTAACAAGAGCAGTGGCGTAGTCGAGACGGCAGACGGTAGCAAACTCAAGCAGCTCAGCAACGAGAGCAGACGCAGCAGCAGACTCGAAGGACAGGTCAGTGACAGCAGTGGCAACTCGACGAGCGACAGTGGGTCTCGCAGCACGCACTCAGTCAGACTAAGGATCAGGGAGTTCAGGAAGAGAGGAATCAGGAGGAGTAGGCAGAGGAACACGCAGTGGAACAGAGGAAGGGCGGAGCTCCACAGTGTGCATGCCGGGGACAGGAGGAGGACGCGAACGAGGAGCGCGGCGAGCAGTGCGAACAGGCGAGACAGGACGAGACGCAGGCTCACGACGCTCTGTAAGACCTCCGGAGTGCACAGTTTAAGGAGAGGGAGCAGGCAGTGGTGAGGCTGGCTGTAACGGCGGCTGTGACTAGTCAGGCAGTGGAAACAGGAAGGGAGGAGGAAGACCAGTAGACGGGACACCAAGAACCTACTGAAGTAGGGGAACAAAGTATGGTCGCCGCCGCACAGTGTCTCCAACACCTCCTGCTCCGGGGTCAACAACTCCAGCTCGTGCAGCTCCAGCGCCTCCGGCGCCAGTGCCTCCAACTCCAGCTCCTGCAGCCCCAGCGCCTCCTGCACCAGGGCCCCCAACTCCAGCTATTCCAGCTCCAGCTCCAACACAGCCAGCTGCTCCAGGCTCCGTAGGGTCTCCAGCTCCAGCGCACCCAACAACACCAGTCCCGACAGCTCCAGTAGGAACAGTAGTACCTCCAGCTCCAGTGTCTCCAGTGTACCCGGGCGCCGAACAAGCCACTCACGCAGCTGCTGCGGTGACAGTTGCGGCGAAGCACCAGCAGGACCTCTAGGCAAAGCAGCACCCCAAGGCTCAGCACCCCTAGGCTCTGCACCCTCCGACTCAGCACCCCGAGGCTCAACACCCTCAGCCTCAGCACCCCCAGACCCAGCACCCTCAGACCCCGCACCCCCCGGCTCCGCACCACCAGACGCAGCACCCCTAGACGCAGCACCCCCAGACGCAGCACCTCGAGCGACAGCTACCTGAACAAGCGTAGTACCAGGGAGAGGGTCTACCTGAGACACTCCCTAGGGAGCAGGACCCTGGGGCGGGAGGGGGTCTACTAGAGGTGGACCAGGAGCAAGGAAGAGCAGCGGGGGCGGGGGAGGGTCAGAGCTGTAGGGGAAGAGACGGTAGAAGGGAACCAACTCGTCGAACGTGACGTCCTGAGACGTGAGGACACGGCGCGAGGTGGGGTGGTAAAACTACCAGCCAGTCGCGGCGGGGAGGGGTGACCCAGGCGGTGGTGCCAAAGAAGAGTGTTGTGCGGCAGGAGGCGACATGAGCAAGAGGCGGCTACCTGGCCTGACGCGGACACCTGAGCAGACGCAGCGAACTGAGGAAGCTCAGTAGCCAGTGTGTACAGACTCGACCCTGGCCGACGAGTGAACGTAGCCAGGTGACGCCCCGTTCGAGTGCACGTGCAGATCGACACACGCTGACCCCCAGGAGTGGTGGTAGTGACCATTGCATCCTGAAGGGCGGCGGTACTCACCAAGTTTGTAGAGAACGAGGGGAGGTGAAGACCTGACAGTGAGCCGGATGGAACCTCCAAACATGGGAGGACAGTGCAGGAATGGGCAACGACTGGATCCCCAGAGGGGTCAGCCCGTCTGACCGGAACAGGTGCAAGAAGAGGAGTGAGAGTGGTGCTGTCACGAAAGAAACAGCGCGAGGCGCCGGAGTCCAACGTGAAGGTGTGCAAGGCCTCAGCACGCGCAGTACCAGGGGGAGTACCAGACGCACTAGCACCTAGAGCAGCAGCCACTATACCTGGGTCAGGTGGCACACACCGGTAACAGTCACCCTCAGCACTAAAAGACAAAGCATACATGGCAGAGATAATAACATCATAGTCTAGGTCAAAGATAGCAACTCCCGACCTAAGCAACTCCGCCGAGCGAGGGCGCTCGACATCGACACCAAACTCAGCATGCCAGGCGTCGTCAAGGCGGGCGAAGCAGCGGTGCTCAGTGTGAAGCCTCCCGCATGTCTGGCCCGCACGGACACCCGTACGAATGACATACGGGCAGGTCTCACTACCCTCACCCGTCCCACGCTGAACCAACCACTCACGGAGCTGCTGGGGCGTCTCGGTCTCGATCTGACGCTGCTGGTGCTGGCCCCGACCACCACCAGGGCCTGTGCGCTGAAGTCCAGACCTACCACCACCGTTCCCACCGCCTCCACTGCCGCCACTCCCTCCGTTGCTGCCACCGCCGCCACCAGTCCCACCGCCGCCACCAATTCCACCGCCTCCACCTCCTCTACCGCTGCCCCCACTACCGCTCCCACTGCCACCTCCACCACCACCGCTGCCTCCTCCACTACCTCAGCCACCCTTGCCCTTACTCTTGCAGAAATTTGCACTAGTCGAGGCAGCACCAACTTCCTCGGGAACAGAGACGTCTGCAGCAGCAGCACAGGCAAAGGAGGAGGAAAGGGGGGAGGGGGAGCACCCCTCAAAGAAGGGCGAGCGCGGAGTGCCACGAGCAGCACCTACAGCAACTGCACTAGTCTCAGCTACGAGGAGATGCTGCTCGAGGAGGTCAACAGTGAGGGAGGTGGGGTCGAAGGTGAGGAAGTGGTCCCTGACAGAGCGAAGGGAGTCAGGGAGGCGAGTGACTATGAAGTAGAGGGTGATGAACATGGGGGGCTGGTTCGTGGGAAGGAACTCAGCAGGGACGGTAGCGCGGTAGCGAGCGTCGCTAGCGCGCAGGTGGGTAACCAGGTCAGCTACTGTGGCAAAAGCCGACAGCTCATTCAACAGGTAGGGCAGTAGCAGCCTGCCAATAGCAGCAGTGGCAGGGGAGGAGTAGCAAGCACGACAGCGTTGTACAGGGCCTGTGCTGTCCTGTGCTCTCCAAAGTGAGCACATTCGGTCGCGGGCAGGTGGTTGCGAATGGCTTTGCGGACAGTAGCGTCACGAGACAGCCACTGGGAACGCGTCGAAACTTCAGCTGTGGCGGGAGGGGCTGGAGCGGCACCGGACACGTGGTCAAACAGTGAGACACTGTCCTTCAGATCGCTCAGTAGGTACAATTGCAGATCGTCATGCCACGTGTCAAATGCTACAGGTCTGCCCTCAGGGTCAAATTGGAGAACTCTAAGCAACGCCATAGTGGCGCAGGACTCAGGAGCAGCAGTAGCAGTAGCTAAGGGGCCAAGGGGGGGGGGCGAGGGGCCAAACAAGAGGGCCGAGGGGCCGAGGGGCCGAGGGGCCTAGGGGACCGAGAGGCCTAGGGAGCCGAGGGCCCAAACAAGAGGGCCGAGGGGCCAAACATGAGGGCCGAGGAGGCCGAGCCTAGGGGCCGAGGCTAGGGGCCGAGGGGCCAAACAAGGGGCCTGGCATTGGGCAGGTACGGGGCCGAGGGGCCTAGGGGGCCGAGGGGCAAAGCAAAGGGGGGGGGGTGAGGAGGCCGAGCCTAGGGGCCGAGGGGCCAAACAAGGGGCCAGGCGCTGGGCAGGTACAGGGCCGAGGGGCCAAACAAATGGGGGGTGGGGGGCGAGGAGGCCGAGCCTAGGGGCCAAACAAGGAGCCGAGCGCGGGCTAGGTATGGGGCCGGGCGCGGGTTAGGTACAGGGCCGGGCGCTGGGCTCTGAACTAGGGCCGAGGGGCCTAGGGGGGGGGGGGGGGCTGAGGGGCCAAACACGAGGGCCGAGGGGGGGGCGAGCCTAGGGGCCGAGGCTAGGGGCCGAGGGGCCAAACAAGGGGCCGGGCGCAGGCTAGGTACGGGGCCTGGCGCGGGCTAGGTACGGGGCCGAGCGCTGGGCGAGGGACGGGGCCGAGCGCGGGTGTCGACGGGCCGGGGCTAGGTACGGGGCCGGGTCGCGGGCTAGGTACAGGCCGGTCGCTGGGCGAGGGACAGGGCCGAGTGTTGGCGTCGACGGGCGCAGGCTAGGGAAGGGGCCTGGCGCGGGCTAGGTACGGGGTCGAGCGCGGGTGTTGACAGGGCGAGGGCTAGGTACGAGGCCGGGCGTGGGTGTCGACAGGGCGCGGGCTAGGTACGGGACCGGGCACGGGTGTCGACGGGGCGCGGCTAGGTACGGGGCCAGGCGTGGGTGTCGACGGGGCGCGGGCTAGGTACGGGGCTAGGCGCGGGTGTCGACGGGGCGCGGGCTAGGTACGGGCCGGGCGTGGGTGTCGACGGGGCGCGGGCTAGGTACGGGCCAGGCGCGGGTGTTGGCGGGGCACGGGCTAGGTACGGGCCGGGCACGGGTGTCTACGGGGCGCGGGCTACGTACGGGCCGGGCGCTGGCGTGAAACGGGGCCGGGCGCGGGCTAGTAACGGGCCGGGCGCGGGCGAGAGACGGGCCGGGCATGGGGCTGGGTACGGGCCGGGCGCAGGCGAGAGATAGGGGGCGCGGGGCTAGGAACGAGGCCGGGCGGAGGGCAAGGGGCGCTTGGCCTAGGGAGGTAGTCACAGTGAAGCAGGTGGTGGGCCCAAGTAACCTACTCTGATTCCATTTGAGAATAACAAACGAGAATGAATGAACTAGCAAAAAGTTGGGTACAAGTACTAACCCTAATTGGGTTGTACCCCTTATGGGCTACCCCACTACAGCCTACACAAATGTATAAGCTATAATGTTCTGACAACTCGTACTAGAGGTACTGGAGCTGTCGGAGCAGGTGGTGCTGCTAGTGCTGGAGGTGCTACTGGAGCTGCTGGCACTGGAGGTGCTGGAGGTACTGCTGGTGCTAGAGGTGCTGGCGCTGCCGGAGCTCGTGGTGCTGCCGGTGCTGGAGGTGCTACTGGAGCTGCTGGTACTGGAGGTGCTGGTGGTGCTGGTGCCGGAGGAGCTGGAGCTGTTCGTACTGCCCCGCATCGCCTGACTCGGTCCTTCACCAGGTTCATAGTCTCCCGTCTTCCACTGGCCTCACTCCACCTCTCATGTGTCCACCGACAGACCAGTCTAAGCCACACCTTCTGCCTGGCTCCCCGCTGTCTGCTCCTGCTCCTCACACTGAGGTGACTGAGTCCCTGACTGAGCATCGTGAGCATGGAGACTCGTGCTTCCACACCTGTTCGTACTCATCGTATTGCCCGTCCTCGTCCTCCTGCTCTCCCAGGCACTCACGGTATGGCACTTCGTCCTTCCTTTGTTCCGCATCGTGTTGTCCTGCCTGAGCCTCCCGCGTCCTCTCTTCCGCACGTTCCTGACCCTGAGTCCGACCTGGCTCGTGCTGCCAGTCCTACTATCACTCGTCTCCTCGCTAGTGTCATCACTAACCCTGACTTTGTGTCTACTGCTGCGTTTGCCCTAGTCACTCAGCTAGACGACTTCGCAGCTAGGAGTCGTCTCGACTACGTCGCGAGTTTTGTCACTGAGTCTGAGTTTCTCTGTCCTCCGTCCGTCCGGGGTGAGCCTACCCTTAGTAGTGACATCCTTGAGGACAGGCAGTTTGAGCTTGAGTGTCTTGCGACCACTTTACCTCGCTTCGCATCCATGCTGCTTTGCCCTGCGGGAGACCCGGATGCACTTGGCATCCCTACCCCGCGCTCTTACGCTGAGGCGATTGCGGGTGAGTACTCCTCTAAGTGGCAAACAGCCATGGACGCAAATATGGCTTCCTGACCTTCTCCCCCACCCCGAAGATGACTACTCTTCAGGTGCTGCTGCACGTTGCAGCACAGCGTGACTACGAGCTGCACTCCCTCGACTTCTCCACAGCTTTCTTGCACGGCAGCCTTCACGAGGAGATCTAGCTGCGCCGCCCACTTGGCTTCACTTGGTCGTTTCCTGCGGGTACCCAGTGGAGCCTCCGGCGGCCAGTCTACGGTCTCCGCTAGGCGCCGCGAGAGTGGCACGACACACTGAGGGCTACACTTGCGGCTCTTGGGTTTGCTCTTTCCTCTGCTGACTAGTCGCTGTTTCTACGCACCGACACTACCCTGCCGCCGTTCTACATTCTTGTGTACGTTGACAACTTGGATTTTGCTACTGCTGACACAAAGGCGCTGGCCCAAGTGAAGGCGTAGCTGCAAGAGAGAGACACCTGCACTAGCCTGGGTGAACTGCGGAGCTACGCTGGCTGACCTACGTGCTGACCAACTTGGGGGAGCGGCCTCGTTCTGCTCTAGTTCTGTACGTCGACAACCAGGCAATGCTTGCCTTGTGTCGCGAGCACAGACTGGAGCACAGAACGAAGCACATTGCTCTTTTCTACTTCCTTGTGCGTGATCTGCAGCAGTGTCGTCAGCTCCACCTTTCTTACGTGGCCTCGCGGGCCAACACTGCTGATGTGTTCACCAAGGCCCTTGGGTCTGGTGATCATCAGCGTTTTTGCACTGCTCTTGGGCTTGTGCCCACTCTGCCTTACCTGCTGGTTGCTTGACTTGCTCTTGTTGTACACTGATATATATTTTTATACCTGCTTGTTTACTCTTGCTAGGTTGTGATCAGTGTATTGCCTTGCTATTATAACTCAGCATGTGAACTGGCCTTGTGGCCGCTTGCTTGTGCTCAGATTGTGTGTTGTCCTTCAGATCCACCCTGAGCTTTGCTTTGCTAGTTCTCTTGCTTGACTGGTCTTGTGACCGTCTGCTGTGTTTGCTCTCTCCCACTTAGCCTATGGGGGTGTGTTAAACTGTATGTTTGTGTTCTCTCTAGGCTATAGTGTGTCAGAACATTATAGCTTATGCTATTGTGTAGGCTATAGTGGGGTATCCCATAGGGGGTACAACCCAATTAGGGTTTCATATTTGTACTCACTTCATTCATAGTTCATTCATTTTTCTCGTTCTAGTTTTCTCATGGTATCGAGCAGGTTCCCCCGTGGGAACTGTGCTTAGGGCCCACCACATCGAATTTTTTCTTCTGCCCGGAGCGCGCTCCGGGCCCTTTCTCTTACTTTTTCGATCTGCCCTAACGGCCCCTAGACGCCCGCGTGCCGCCCTTAGATGCCCGCGCGCCGCCCGTCCCGGCCCCTAGACACCCGCGCGCCGCCCGTCCAGACCCCACGCCGCCCGCGCGCTGCCCTTCGAGCCCGCGCGCCGCCCGTCCAGGCCCCCCCCACGCCGCCCGCGCGCTGCCCTTCGAGCCCGCGCGCCGCCCGTCCAGGCCCCACGCTGCCCGCGCGCTGCCCTTAGAGCCCGCGCGCCGCCCGTCCAGGCCCCACCCCGCCCACGCGCTGCCCTTAGGGCCCGCACGCCGCCCGTCTCGCCCCCCCCCCCCCCTAGACGCCCGCGCGCTGCCCGCCAGGCCCCTCGACGCCATGCGTCACCCGATCCGGCCCCACACCACCCGTGCGCCACCCGTCCCGGCCCCGCTCCCAGCCGCCCGTGCGCCACCTGTCCCGGCCCCGCTCCCAGCCACCCGTGCGCCACCCGTCCCAGCCGTGAGCCACCCACCCGAACCGCCTGCGCAGCTGAGGAGCCGAGCCGCCGGAGCCGCCGAAGTCGCCTGTGCCGCTGACCGCCCGAGCCGCCCGAGCCGCCCGAGCCGCCCGAGCCGCCCGAGCCGCCTGCGCCGCCCGAGCCGCCCGAGCCGCTGGTGCCGAGGTGCTGCTGTTGCTGCTGGGCCGGCCGAGCTGCCGTTTTTGCTGTGCTGCTGAGCTGCCCGACCCGTCCAGTCTGGTGAGACCGCCGACTCCAGTCATGGCTACCCCTAGTGTCCTAGCTTTTGACGCTGAGGGTCGTGCCCTTGACTTTGAGGTTTGGGTCGACGACCTGCAGCTGTTCTTGCAGTGCGACAGGGTAGACGACCTTTCTCTCTTTGACCTTACCTCTGGCGCCGTCCCTGCCCCTGCTACTGATGCTGACCCCACTGTTTGCTCCAAGTGGGCCACACGCGATGCTGCTGCACGTCTTGCTGTGCGTCGCCACTTGCCTACCGCTGAGCGTGCACACTTTAGTCAGTACAAGAGTGCCCAGA